GCGGTGTCAAACAGTGGAATTGGTATGTTAGGGCAGTGTTCAGAAATATTGGTTTTATTAGCATTTTGGAAAAGCAAAGGTATGTAAATGAAAATTAAAATATCAGTGGCTATGAATACTCCCTGCTGCCCAATGTAATCGTTTTAGACCTTTTTGAAAGTCATACTTGTAACAATTATAATGTGATTTGATGAAAAACAAAGATACAGCTGTTAAGCCAAGTGCAGAAAACATGGAAGTTTTGCCACTTCTTAGTAGTTTTAATTCATGTAAGAAATAACTTTTTTTTTGTCTTCCAGAGCTTTTGTTGATTACAATGATGGCGTAGTCCACAAACATTACAGTGATGTGAAGCATGACCTAGTTTAGAATCAATCATAGTGGCTTAATATTGCCTACTTTTCAGGTCTTAGTAGGAGGCTGGTGCAATAAGAAGAATGAAGACCTTTTATGCTGATGAGTTCTACTTCAAAGACAGAGCAGATGGCCATGACTGATGGTTGGCTAGTGGTCAGCTTAGCTCTACTTTCCCATTACATGTGTATATCCTTAATTATTCCTGAACTTTGAATAGCTTTACTTCAACAGAGCAACTGAAAGTCTACATAAGATTTTCATTTCATCTCATGACCTTGCAAAAAATTTTATCTAAAGCACCTTCATCTGTTATCCCAGATGTAATTGGCTAAAGCCTAGCAAAGGGATGAAATAGAAAATTCAAATAGAAAGCTGTTTTGGAACACGTGCAGCTGGCTTTGCAACTGTTGTTACTGCTTCAGCATCTCTTTCCTGATATTTTAATTAAATGAAGAGGAAAGGGATTTTCCTTAGTGAAACTTTGATTTCAGAACACACACTACTATTCTCCAGGACTTGATGTCCTGCTAGATATTACCTCAACAGAAGCAGATGTTGCGTTTCGAATTATGTCTGCACAGCATTGATTAATGTTAGGAATGCTAAAGATCTTGATATAATCAATCCCTAAAATAACAAGTCATTAGTTTTCTTTCTTCCTATTAAGAGTTTTTAAAAAATGTTTAAACAGTCCAAACCAGCAGTGGGATAGTAAAATATTGGTACACATCAAGAAGAATGGGATGAATTTATCAAAATAATACTATCAGTCATATCCGGTAAAATTCCATAAAAACAGCCAGACCTCCTGTGTGCCAAAACACTGCTCAATATATTTTATAAATAAAAAAAGAAGGTAAGATTTCTACCTAGATGACATTATGATTTAAAAAACAGCGAAGCATTACAACTGAAGCAGCAGTGATTTAGAGAAGGAAGGTGAAACTTAAAACAATATCAATAGTTAATCTCACTAGAAACGTGTTTTGCTGTTGCTAAAGAACTGTGAAAAATCCCAGGCTGTCAAATATTTTAAATGTCTACTTGCATCATAAAAATAAATAAATCCCTTTCTAAGAAAGCAAACATAGAATATTACGACTTTTCGTTTTTTCCCTGCTGCCTTCAGGCCTCATTGCCTGAATGTAATGAGTTTGCCATATATTTCAATCAGTAGCGCTAGTACTTCTGTGCAGGTGGAACACTTTGTATTCTTAGGCATAGGCTTGAGGATTACAATCATGGAATAATTTAAACTGGCAAAGAACTCTGAAGGACGTGTGGCACAATCCTTTGCTCAAAACCTGTCAGTTAGATTAGGTTGCTCAGGGCCAAATTTTGAATATCTCCAAGGATGGAGATTCCATAGCCTGTCTGGGCAACCTGTTTTAATGCTAAAGCACTCTTCTTGTGAAATGTGAATTTCTTATATCTAGCCAAAATTTCTGTTCTTGCAACTTGTTAGCATTGCCTCTTGCCGTTTTGCTGTACACCTCTGGAAAGACTCTGATCCTGTCTTTTGTTCATAGATGATGAAAAACAGTGATTAGATCACCTCTTCACCTCTTATCTACTCTGAACGGTTCTGACAGCACCCCCTTGTACGTCATGTGCTCCAGCCTCCAACCATCTTAGTGACCTTTGCTCAATTCACTTCAGCTTGTCTATCTGTCTTGTACTGTAGGAACCCAAACTGGCCAAACTGGCTGCCACATGCAGTTTCACAAGCTCTTAACAGAGGAGAGTAGCCTGCTGGCTAGTCTCTTCCAGATGCAACTCAGCATGGAGCTAGTCTTTGATGCCACAAGAATGATCCTGACTCACATTCAACTTTTCGTACACCAAGACAAGTCTAGTGGTTTTTTTTGCCTAATGCATGGCTTTAGGAGATGCCCAGAATGCTCCCATCTAGCTCATAAGCTTAGTAATGGTGACACAGTGAGTTCTGTCAGAAAATGTGGTAAGGTGTTATATTCCAGAATATTAATTTCCCCAAGAAATGTTCATGTTTTGAAAGAGGAAAGAGGGAGACCTCTCTTTGTCATGTATAAGCTGCTATGCTATCCTTATGTTCTGACCAGTTATTTAGCCCAGTGACGACATGGGAGGAAAAGATTTGTGTGAAGAGCTGAGGGTCAAAACAGGAAGATCTGGACACAAAACAGAACTCCTGTCAAGACTAAATCCAGATTACTGTTTTTTTCTCCTTATTGCGCAATTCATTGGTAGTCTTAACTGCCCTCACAGGCTTCCCATTTCCTTTAACTGGACTGGAAATCCTGAGGGACATTGACAGCCACTGTTTGAAGGCAGCGAAGGGTATGGATCTGAAAAGGTTTAGGTATCTTTTCAAAAAGCTGCTTTGCCAGAAGATACACAAGAAAGTATAATCTAACAATGAGATACATTAACTGTTAGATGTTTGCAATCTGGTAGAATTCTGGAATTTAGCTGGCAGCAAGTAGAAATTTGTGTGGAATTTGAAAATAGCTGCCAGCTCCCTGAAGGAGCAGTTGAAGCACAGTAATTTTCAAATTCCTTCATCGTTTGTGGTAGAGAAGGTATTACATGCTCTGTTACTTCCATGACTTTACTAGTTTTAAAAAATAACACAGAATCTCCAAGTTTTCAGACAATATATTTATTAATAAAGAGAAGGAATCATCTGACCTTGTTCAGGTTGGGTGACACTTGACTGATTTTGATGAGATGATACCATGAATTGCACTGTATCTTCTGAATGGGGATACTGGAAAATGTGTTTTTAATGCAACATCAAAGCGGCTGCCATGTGATTAGATCACCTCTTCACCTCTTATCTACTCTGAACGGTTCTGACAGCACCCCCTTGTACGTCATGTGCTCCAGCCTCCAACCATCTTAGTGACCTTTGCTCAATTCACTTCAGCTTGTCTATCTGTCTAGTACTGGTTTAAATGCACTGAGAGCAGATAGTACTTGAACGTTAAGAGAATTAAAATGTAGATGGATTTCTCTATCCACATTGTTTTGTTATTTTAATTTTTAGAGTACCCAGAAATAAGCCAAGCAGTGTGTATGCATATGATAAGACAGCTCTAGTAGTTCATGATTTACAAATCTAATACTGATATCCTCACATTTAGGGAGGACTGTGTGTAAGGCTAGGGATGCTGGCTTCAGTGGCATAATTGGAAATCCAACTCAGTAAAAATAATGGAGAAATATGATATTAACTGTCCTATTTTCAAATCTTCGTGAGGCATGTTGCAGCCTTATACTGAAGGATAGTCCAAATAAATGAAAATGCTGAAAATGTTCACATTAGAAAAGAAATAGACTATACAAAAGTGACAGAAGGCAGTTCTTTCCTGTAACCCTAGTGTTTCAAAATGGAAATATTGGTGTGATTTTTGAGCTCTCATATTTTTAAATTAAAATCAGCTAGAAAAACAGGAGAAGCAAAAATTTATATGTATTAATCCTAAAAAATTATACAATCAGTAAATTTTGTCCATTAAGAGAACCGTTGTTAATTTGCCAGCCAATTAGCTGGCCTATGAGTGTAAGAACTGTCTTTATCTTACTACTGTTCTAAATTTATTGCATTAACTCATAACAAACTAATGATACTTTCAAAGATTTTCTTGAGATCTAAATTATAATTTTCAAAACCTATAAATTTTGCTCTCTTACTGCTTTTTTCAAAGGAGTGGTGCTAGTAAAAGTTTTTAAACATACCTCTTTTTAAGGAGTACTGAAGTAGAAGAGTGACATTTTTAGAATTTAAGGATCAAGCACAAACCAACAGGTTGCTAATTTTTGAAAGAGTAGTTTACAAACCACCTACTCCCTAAAAAGGAGTTAAAATTTAGTTTTTCTTTGTGATCAATTCTTGGACCAAATTCTAACAGAATGATCTGTTAACACGATAATTTGTATTAGTAGTGTAGAATAAAGTTTTTCTTTGAAGTTACAGAATTTAACTCTCTGAGCCTGATCTAAAGTGAGGAGAAAATTTCTTTTAATTTTAAAGGACAAAAGAGGAAACCTCGAATAAGCACCTGTATTAACATAAGCTTCTGATGAAACTAAAGTAATGAAAAACTTATTTTGAACAGGTTTGTTTCATAAAAATTCTTACCATGAATAAATTTCTCTGATAAATCAATTGGTATGTGAGGTTTTTCTGCTTTTTTTTTTTTATATCAAAACTTCAGATCTCAACCATATGTGGTAACTTCTTTACAATTTGAAGAGGACTGCCTCAAGTATTCAGATTGTGAATTGCTTTCTTGGTATTAAATATTTTAAGTTATAAGACAAGCCATTGTTTTGTAAGTTACTGTTGTCTTTTCTCCTGTTAAAACAGCATTTAAAAAATGTTGACTTAGAATGTATATGACATTCTTTTTTCAGCTACTGTAAAAACACTGAAATATTTGAAAGTCCAAAGAAAACATGCTTTTAAAAGTAGAAATTATATGCCATATACTTTCATTCTTTTTAGGCTGTTCCATTTGTGGTTTTAGTCTTTAAATAGTATACCTAAAGTCAGAATTATTTGTGGAATGAGGTATTTCTCGGTGAATAAGGATATCTGGCACATGAATCTAACTTACACTCTGGTGATAAATGATTTGTTTGGAAATGTCATTCCTATGTTCTACTCATTATTAATTTTGTTTGGATTCATTTTAATATTTCTCTTGGTTATTTTTATTGTAAGAGTCACAGCTTAAAATTCCTAAGCTACTTGTCAGATAGATGAACAGAACAGATGTTGGGTTTTTCAATCATTATCATCCTGATTGTTGAGAAAAACCAACAGTTCTACTTTTCTGTTTTAGTTCTTGGGTGACGGGAATTCAGAAAATGATGGAATATGTCCAAAAAAAAGTAGATCAATTAATCAAGCAGTGTCCAGATTATAAAGAGCTTACTTTGAAGAAACAACAATGGACCGCCTCACTTGAAGATCGTCTGAATAAGGTACATCATAACATATCATCTTCTTAATGCATTCATGAATAGTGCATTGCATTTCCATAATTAAGGTATGTGAATATTAAAGTAGGCTCAAACATTTACAAATAACATATTGGTTTCTTAGAGAATACACAGTTGTAGTTAGGATGCTGAATGCTGTTATCAGTAAAAAGAACCTAAAGCTGTCCTGAAAATGCAGCTATTTTCGTAAGAACATTTTACCAGTGATCTTCAATAAAGCATGGATTTGCTTAGATCATGAGCTATTATAATTGGTTGTTTTGGAAAAGAAGTGAGCAACCAGGACTGTGACCTGCATGCAGGTTTCCTATACTCTTTCTGTCTCTCTGTTTCATTTGGCTGAAGATAAAAGTATAAGTGGGGCAAAATTGAGGGTTAATAAGCATTGTAACTGTGAGCCACAGCGTATTTTCAGTAAGGTTGAAGGAGAGTAGAATTCTGTTCACTATAAAAATTCCATTTATTCAATAAGATACTGATACGTCAAGGACATCACAACTTTCTTTAAGCTGTTCAATGGTCTGTAGTATTAAAGATGGAACCTAGATAAGGTACCATGTGTAAATTCAAATTAAAAAGTATAATCTTTTAACAAGGTTCATATGAAGCAAATCCCGAAGCGCAGACCAAAAGAGTAAATAAAATTTGATGACAGAATAATTAAGTCTGCAACCTGATATTTTATAATATTTGCATGATATTTATCATGAACAGTTCTGAATCAAATGGGAAGTAAATGTGCCATAAATTAGTCCCTTTGGTCCCTTTGCATACAATTTATGTAGAAGAGGCCTCATGATATTAGAATACAGTGAAAATATTGTTCAGTATAGATGAAAATAAAAGATTTGTTGATAGCTGCTGTTGGTCTTGTAGAAATGATGTCACCAGCATGTTGTGAAACAGCTAAAACTTAAATTATGAAGATAATTTTTACTCAAAATGTAGGTCCCAATTTTGACATAAAGTTTTGTTCTGCAGCGTGTTCCAATTGCTTTGTTCCCAGTCTTGCATTAGAGAACATTTTTAAAAATTGATTCGTAATACATGATCTTTCATTGCAGTGAACAGTGCTTTTTGTTCTGTTCCTACCAAGCAAAACACTTTTCATTCTAACCTTCCGGTAATGCAAACTATCCCAAAGAATCTGGTGCTAAATTCAACTGCCCCTGAGCTTCATTGAACCTCAGTTGGCAGCCACTTCTTAAAATGTATGGTACATGTGAATTCACATGTCTAATAATAACTATACATACTATGTCTGGTATCATCTGCCTCTGCTCTTCATACTCTGTTTTGTCACCGTCATGCATATGTAACATCTTACTGTGGCAATGAAATGGAGTTGTGTACATGTATCTGCACAAAAATTGGTCTCTTGGCTTGGCAGAGAAGTTTTAAATGTACTTTATGAAAAAAAAATGGAGCATAATAAAAGTATTTCTGCCAAGGTTATAATATCTAGATTATAATGCAGTTGTGCCTTGTTGAAATAAAAAGCCTGGAATACTTGAGAAGAAGAAAAGCACTATCAGCAAAATGAGAGCAAACAGGAGGGTTTTTTTTCTCAAATTCTGAGTGTACCTGTTAGAATTTTCTTAGGAGAAATAGTAGAATTTTCTTACTTTATATTTTAATTTCTAAAGTTCTCTGATTATACAAAATACATAATCTAAACATGAACAGACGAGTGTTACTTAACTTTTTTCTATACAAAATGATGTTTTGTGTTGGTTTTTATGGTCTACTTGTATAAATTAACTATATAAATAATACTTTCAAATAAAGGTATCACAGTCAATTGAAAATATCTCCTCGATGCTTGTCGTTGGTGTGGAGATTGGTTCGTATTTGTCCGAGTCGGAAAGAGTTTTGAACGAACACCTTGAACTGGCTAAGCAAACAAAGGTAAAAAAAAAAAAAAGATTTGATAATGTTAAGTACTTTTAGAAACCGATGCATTCTGTATGTCATTCTAAATGAGGTGAAAGGCTGAAAGTTTCCTATATAGTCTTGGGAAGAAAATAGGTCTATAGTTTAGTTTAAAACTGTAGTTAAGGAACAAAACCATAGATAACATTACAAGTCAGTCCTTATATCATTGCTTATCCCCATTGTCTCTATTGAATCGTGTTATTTGTTACTACCTCAAGATCCTGATGTCAATCCTTAATAGGAAGACTCTTTGAATGTGGATTGCTACTCCTATCTGAGGCACCAAGTTTAACAGTCTAGACAGTCAAAGGCACAGAAAACTCTTCTTGTGGTTTATTATGCCAAATAAAAAAGAGGAATTGACAAAAAAGGAAAAAGCAGTTCCCAGGTGGAGGAACTTTGAAGGAGGCTGCAAAGTTACCATCAGATATCCAGTGGTCATGTTGGAAGTGCAGCCATGGTATGTAATCACTGTAGCACTCAGTTCTGTAACACAGATGAGGGTATTTTTAAGTCACATCCAGGGCCTTTCCAACTCCTGTAGCAGTACTGCAATATCTGGAAGAGGCTTAAAACCAACAAAATCCTCTTTGTGGTCTTGACACAGGTGCGTATTTCATGGCTAATTGGAACAACATGGCAGTATGTGTTTTAGGAGTATCCTATGTTTTAAGAGTTCTTAGAACTCCATTACTCCTATGGAGTCCTTTTTTTGGTTTCAGGCAACAATTTATGGAACCCAAGAGCTGGATCTGTACAGTACTTGTGAAAATAAAATTCACTTCAAAGAAATTCTAGAGAGCACATAGTAAGAATGTAAAAAGTTCCACAGATGAACAAGAGTGCCTTTTTATTCCACAAGACTGTATGATAGTTTGTAGTGTTTTTTCTGCCAAATTTTTTTGCATGCCATTGTGTTACCTTTGTTTGTTGCAGTGTACAATCTGCCCTGACAATAGTGACCTCTCCTACCTATTCTTTCTGTGAATCGTGATACGCTAGAGCTTGCGCTCCCGGCTGAATGCCAGAGGTAGATATGCAAAGTGGTATTGAGTTAAATATGTGAAAGTAGATAAGCACATAGACTCAGCTAAATCAAGGAAAATGTTATAAACTCAGCTCTTGCTCAGACAGTATACCGTGACTTTCTGCTGGATCTGAGCAGTTGATGCAGTAACAGATATGACCCACTATTTGATCTCCATCTGATTTCTGCAGATTTTCTGCATGTAAAAACATTGCTTTGAGTTGGAATGCAGAGAAGTCTAGCTTGGTCGGTAGGGACTAATCTGGAGCTAGGAAGAAATTGTTAATTGAAGAATGAAGGCATGAGTGGAACTAAGATTCTTGAGGCAAAGCGCTACAAGGACAGGCCTTAAAACAATTACAGCAGTAGCCTTATGAGGACCCAATGCTTCTGGAGTCTCACTCTAGAGTAGACACTGAGTTCTACAAGAATAGAGTATCGGAGAAGCAGCTAAGAGGGGTTTAGACTCAAGAGAATCAGTTTAGAAAATTGGGCTATACTGTTTATTAAAGGAATTGTGTTTGTTCTGGCTACCAGTGTTTCCATATGGAATGCTTCCGTTGTTTTAATTCTTGCACTGTGGTTTACTTAATCTGAATACTGAGAATACTTTTTTTTTTCTCTCATTCAAAACAGCTATTTTAATGACTACGTCCATAGTTTCTAGTGTCAAATTGTTACAGGAAAGAAATGGTTATTTTCAGCATATAATGTCCATTATGAGCTCCTCTTCAGCTAAATCATTGAATTATACATAAGAAAACAATACTAGTGAAAAATAACAATTCAATATTCACAAGTCCTTTCAGCCATTATTCATATTGTTATATTGTTCTATCCTTCTATCCTCAAAGGAAACTTCACATGAACTGGAAGCAGCTGAGAGAATCATCAAAGATATGGAAGAGTTTGAACCTGAGCAGGTGGCAGTTTTTTCTAGCAGAACTGACTTTCTGAATGAAGAACTGAAAAAAATTGAAAAGAAGATTAATTCAAAACTAGAAATTCTAGAAACTTATGTGGCCTTTTTGAAGTCAGCTGTGGAGGTACAAATTACTTACTTATTCTTTGACTAGACTGTGAAAAATCTTACAAGTGAAAAATGTGCTTTTAGCTACCTGAGGCAAATCCTGTAGATGCTGTGCCATGATAGCACGGCAATTCTTTGTAAGCTCCTTTCTACTTCAAAGGAGATTGGTTCCATCAGGGCAAGCAGCCTTGATCATTGAACTTGCATTAACATAATGACTAGTCTAGGTGCAGATTTTTTACTGATTTAAATGACCATTGTAGGAAGTATTATAATTGAATTTTTACTTTTTCTCCTGTGCACATGCACTCTCTAATTATATACATAATAAAAATGTGTATATATGTGTACTCTGACTCTTAAATTTACTGATTTTACTTCACAGAATTTTAAAAATATTTCACATAATATATTGATATAGATATTTATTTTTGTCTTGCACTACTTCCACTGACATGATAATTCATCTGAAGGGGTTTAAAAATTAAATATAAACCAACTGTAGCTGAAATCATAGTCAATTTGTTATCAACATAATTTTGGTACCTGTGCTAATGATGCCCAGGGCAGATAATTTTCATTTTGATGTAATGCTTGTTTTAAGATTCTACAGCATTGTCATTGTTTTATGTTTAGAAATGAGGACAGAATGGAACATAGCAGATAAAATTAGCCATAGGGTTTAGTTATTTGAAGATAAACTGCCAAAAAATTGAATTGCATCTATTTCCAATTATTGCTAACTTCAGTTACTTCATATTAAACAGATCTGTGAAAATCATTGCATTGATACACTGGTATATAATATCCATGTAATCGTATGTGACAGAAACTGAACAAATTGCTGCCACCTGTCTGCTTGCCATCTACTGGTTTACAGGTTATTTACAATTTTTTAATTTTTAGTATTTGTATGGGTTTAGGGAGGACGACAGATCTGAGAAACTGGAAAAGTTTCAGAGGCTGCTATTCAATTTTACCATGTCTGTAGACCTTCTTATTGTAGCAGCTTGACTTTGATTTGTTTTTAATGCTTATTTTATGTCTTTCTGTAGGTGAATGATTGTATTCAAAATCTGAAGGAATTCTATAAATCAGAACAACTACAACCAAACAGGGAGGCTGAGAATAAAATTGCAATGGAGTCAGCTAATACTCAGTGGCAAAAGACTATAAAGAAAATTTTTTTCACCCAAAACATGGGTTGCAATTTTCTTAATTTAGTAAATATGGTGAGTATAATCTGATAAACTGTATTGAGCATTTGATGTTTGCCTGTGATGAGGTCTAATCCTAGTTCTGTGACTGATGGATTGTGATTTCTCCAGTAATAAAAGTGTCTCATGCTGCTATATACTTTTAAAATATGGAAGTATTATTTGAGTGCTAATGGCATTATAAATAGTATAAAAAGTGTTGTGATTAACAATGACAGAGCCCTTAGGAAATGATCCAGTACACGCATACAAATATAATACATGCACAAATCTGCTTTGTTCATGTTAGAAAGTAGCATATATGCAAGTACAGTACCAAGTTTATTTTGCTTCCACTAAGAGGCAGTCTTTACTAACTGAGTGTATGACGTTCTAAAGAAATGGGTGCTACAGCTACTTCCTTACAGACAATCTTTCCTGGTGTCTTTACATTTTGTCTTAGGTTCAGCTGTACTGCCTAGGCATCCCTGTCTAATTTTCCAGCACCCCTTCATGAGATGATAATTTGACGTGTGCAATCATTCCCTCAGCTACTCTTCCTAAAGTGATCCCAAATAGTGTAGGCAGCCTGGATACTCGACTGTTCTTTCTGTTTTTATAGGACAGACTAGGGAGCTGTTACATTAGGGTGAGAAGAGGGAGCTGGTGTTGATAATATACAGCAGCGTGCAAGATGGATTGTAAAAACCTACTTAAGGAGTGAGTGCTGAGGCAGTTAGTGTGGGCTAAAGTGTTGCTTTCACAGCTGGATGCAGCCAGGCACAGATAAGATAGTCAGTGTAAAGGCAAACCGAATATCTGTGAATATAAGGTTGCACTGCAGTCATTTAAAGTCTAAATATATCTTCAGATATTATCTCTCTGAAGACCTGGAAGTGTGTTGCCACTGTATTTTCTGTTATGCTGTTCCCATGATATTGCTAGGTTGTAGCTTTGAAGTATCTGGAAGATATGGATCATACAAGTAACTTACCATCACAGCTTTTTTTTAAAAGAAAAATTCTGAAATGGGAAAAGCAGCAACAGCATCACTTAGTTTTCTCATGCTTTTGATATGGGCTTTGTTAAAAGGAGGAAAAACCACCAAATGTTCAAATGCTGAACATGTATCCTTCCTCCCATGCGTTGGTGCTGCTTTATCAGCAGAAAGGAGTGATGTTTCTTCATCCACTTCAGTTTCCAGTTGCTATAGGCCTTCCCCAAAAGGCCATTTTGGGTAGTTCTGTCTATTCAGAAATTACTTTATTTTGTATGAGCATTAAACAGCTGTCAGATAGCAATTATTCACTCATTACTGACCTGGTCTAGGTTTTAAACTTTAACATTAGCCATGTCCTCAGTGTATAAATTCTTTTGATATCTATTTCTAAGAGAACAGTATATTTAAAGACACCTAGAATACCGGAAATTTTCAAAGAAGTTATGCAAGAATAGTTGTTTTTTATGAAAGCTTTGTTGAGACTTTAATATTATGAGGATTTAATTGTATTTCTTAAATAAAAAAATGTGTCTGTTTATTTGCCAGGTAAATAACAGTTTAATATTAGCAGTAGAAAAATCTGTACAAGTAACAGAAGATATCATTGTTAATCTGAATAAAGAAAAGAAAGAGCTGACCGGTCTTTGGGCAATGTGGAATTTTAAAGTTACTCAAGTAAAACCCATCAAGCAACAGTGCCGGATATTTAAAGAACAACTAAAAATTGTAAGTTAAATAGCTAGGAAGAAAGCAATTGTGGCAAATATTTTTAGATTGTTATTAGTTTGTCTGTGACTCTCTCATCAACTATTATAGGTATCATTTAAGAAAGAGAGATGATCAGTAAGATACTTCTTCATAGTCTGTTGTCATTCAGTCATCAAGAAACACAAAATTTTTTGATCTTTTTTTGCCCATGTTCAAACACATACAAGTCCAAGTCCTCACTTCAAATTTTAAGTTTTAATCAAATCCATGTACTATGTCAGCAATGCTTTAGTGGGTTGGGTTTTTGTTTGATTGTTTTGGTTTGGGTTTTTTTGGGGGGGGAGGGTTGGGTTTTTTGTTTGTTTTATTTTTGTTCTTTTTCGATAAAAAACACATTATGTTGTGACTTAGTAGTTACTAAAGTAAACTGTTTCCTAATAGTTACTAAACTCAAATCCAACCATGTTCATAAGGAAGGAGGATTGAAATCTCCTTGGCACAGGGACAGCGTGCAGTGTTCCTTAAAAGCAACACTAGCCAGACTAGTAGCAGAACCAGAGGTTTGTAGCTGCTATTTTTCTAGTGCAACGTTTCACTGAACTATGGCATCTGATAACACAGAAAATATGATGTGTGTATGGATCCTCTGATCTTGGTGTCTGAATCATTTTTTTAACACTGTCTTAAAGATTTCCTATCAACCTTGTCAGTCAGAGGGTTTGAGACAGAGAGGTTTATAGTTTTTAAAAAAATAAATTAATTATCTAAACTTCATAATGTCTGGTTTTTTAATGGTAATCTCTTAATGAAATTTATTGGCAGCACTTGGTTGTCTGGATTGGGTAAGGTTCTTGTTAAAAATTTAGATTTGAATTAAAAATATTTATTTATTTTTACTGCAGATAGAAACACTGAACTGTTTGATTATCTTTTAGACAACCCATGGATTAGAGATTATTCAAGAGGCGCTCCAGCTTGCAGCAACAGTTGACCTTGGAAGTGACCTTTTTATTGTTTTGGAACTACAAAAAAAGCTTAACCAAATAAAACCACAGTATCAGGTGAGAAACCAAGCTTATGAAGTGCACAGCGGATCAAAATCTCTTTTGGTACAGTAAAGAGTCTCATTCACATTGACCCCAGACAGAGTATCTGGGGTTGCAGTGTTTTATGTTTTACATTACTTTCCAGAAGGAAGGATTTGTGTCTGTTTATAAGATGAGGGACAAGACGTTTTAACTTCAGTGTCCAGAGAATGTCTTGCATGGTGTTAGCTGCATATTAAAGTGGCACATAAGCATTGGGGTGGTGGAAGTACAAGGAGAGAAACAGCTTCATGCTTTTGAGTTAGAGCTGGTCAGAGGCTGAGGTATGCCATACTGAGCTTCCTGCCTCCTCTGCATATGGTCTCTTGAGTTTAGCAACTCAGTCTGCCATTCCTCTATGAGTCAGTTCGGCCTGTTTTGATCCGGGGCTGTATCTGGGTGATAGCTGAGATTCATGCCTAGCAAAAAAGTAAAGTATGTGGAGAATGTTTTAAAGAGCATGACATTGATTTTTACCCAAGGCAATTTACCATTGTTAGGTTGTTATTTCGTCAAAGGTAAGGAAAAACTTGCAAATATGTTTGTGTAATTTGAGTAACTTCTGCTTTTTTTGCTAGCAACTGAATGCTGAGCTTGAGTATCTGATAAAATTATCAGAATTGCCAAGCCAAAAAGGATGCCAGGAAGAGAATTCTAAGAGAATAAGTGAACTTACTCATCTCCATCAAATGGTAAAGGACACAATAACAGAATATGATGATATTTTCAACAAGACAGTCAAATTCCATCACATTAAAAAAGAAGTGAGTATAATCTTTTAAAATATACCTTCTTCCCATTGTAGTTAAACTCTTTTTGGATTTGGTGCCTGTCATCTTTCTTTATTTTTCCTCAAACAAACAGCATTAACTCACCTGGTGATCAGAATTAAAATTTTGGATCTAAAACTGCATGATATTGCTGTCTGGTTTATTCTGCTCAAGCATTGCTGAAAATAAAATAAAATTAAATCTACAGTGAGAGAAAGCAACGTCTACTCTACAAAGTTCTGAAATCACTGAACCTTCTCATATTTAATAATTCAGACTCATTCCTCTAAATTTTGTCCAGGAAAATAAGATGGTCTTTATATTCCATAGATATCTTCACAAAAGTCTGCAGTACTGGATTTTCTGATGCCAAGTGATTATGAAACCCCCTTTTGTTCTCATATTTGGAGAATTTAAAATTCAGATCTGAACCCAAATTTAATTACTTAAACCTATGTCAGCAAAGTTTTAACACGTTATGGGTAAGCAAGGAATTGTAAGCTTCTTTCCACATTATTTTAGACACACACTGATTTTTCTTTTAATATATTCCAGCTGGAATATCTGTCAAAATCAGGACAACTGGATATTCCTGAAATATGTGAGGATCCTGAAAACGTGCACTGTGGTAAAGCCTACCTTGTGAATGCTCAGGAGAAACATGCACATATCAGACAGTTATATCAACTGCTTATTACCCAGGGAGTGGACATCTTGTCTGCGCTGCAGCAACCTGTAAGTAGAATTAGAATGATTAGTGAAATCAAGGATAAGTATAAAACAAGATTATTGGAGCTATCTGACTGACAAAAAGCTATCTGATGTACAAAAATGTCTGAGAAAAATAAATATAGAGCTTTCAGATCCTTATAAAAAAAAGGTAAAACATAAAATATAAAACAGTTGATAATTTTTAGATTTCTGCTTTTGGAATTTGCAGATATACAGCCATCAAATTAAATGAAACATCCAGGAATGACGAAACTTGCTCTTCAGTGGTTACTCACATTACAAATTTCTTTTGCCAAGAAAAAAGAAGATTGATTGATATCTGGTTTTAATTTTTTAATGGTCTGTGAACAGATCTTACTCTAGAAAACATTGAAATAGATTTGAAATAGGGAGGAAATTGATATTAAAATATCAGTGCTTGGGAAAAAAATAACATGACTTTCTTTTCTCTAGTACTTTTTGTGCAGTTCAAGGCCCTGATGGTGATTTCTTAAACACCACTTCTATATATTAGGATCCCACTACTTCGTAAAGGTTGCTTTTCATATTTATTCTCCTATAAAGAAAGAATAAAAAAAGATGCAAAAGGAAATATAACAATAATGTTACCTTATGAGTGGAATTACAGACTGATTTGCGTGATAAAACAGATATAATTTTCTTATGACTGGCCTAGATTATCCACAGTGCCAGTCTCCTCTTCAGATTCTATAAACTGACAGCAGGAAGGAGCTCCTCTCCAGTTGGTAAAGGACTAGAGCAGGCCACTTCCCCTTTGCTTGGAGAAAACACCATGTGTGAGTTGTGACTTTGACCCAAAACGACTCCTCAGACTACTAGTAATTGAACCTGCTCTGTACTCGCTCTTGTTACAGTGGAGGTTTAATAGTTTACATTAGCCCATTGTGACTGACTATGCGTGTTCTGCCTCAAAATGATTTTCATTTTAGATTGGTTAAATCAATACATTTCCTGAGTGTCAGAAGTTTCTTTGTTTATTCCCTGTTTAGAATTGCTTGAATGTTTCTGTAAAGAACCTGAAGCAAGAACTTGCTAAATTTGAGTGTGATAGCATTAACTGGAGCTCCAAAGCTGATAAATATGAGGAAGAACTGTCACAGCATCTCCAACACTGCACCACTCAAGAGGAAATAAATGAGGTAAATGAGATAAATCTCAAGGCATTAAATGACTGTTCAAGGCGCTGTTGTGTTCCGTAATACATGTTACTGTTTACCATTCCCCTAGGTGCTTCAGGCGTATACAGAAAAGTTAGTTTTCGTTTTACCAGCAACTTTTGATCCGCGCAGCAGCAATAATTATGGTCCATAACTCTGCAGTTCAGGATTATATCAAGCTGTTGGGCCAGCAATAAAATGCTTTTACTATACCAAGAGGACTGGAAGTACGGCAGCTATGTTTTATTGGGCTTTCAGCTCTGTCACTTTCGCCTGAAATACATGATTCTTTAGATTTTTCTTATGAAGCTAAAGTTTCAAACAAAAATGGAATTTAAATATGTTGCAGTTGTAAGGCTATTAGAACGAACTTTCAGTCTTTTAATGGAAAGTTCAAAATAATTTAATACCTAACATTTTTTTTTTTTTCAGAAGCTGAAGATATGATGCTTAAAAAATTGCTAGAAGAAAAGGAAATGTTCTTTGGCACAAGATGTTAGAATTTAGTATTATGGAAAATAGGTTATCAAAAATTACTTAATATGATTATTAATTTAGCATCTTTGTAGGCCAAATACAAATCCACTCACAACTTAGCAGGTTGAATTAGATAGATGTCTCAGCAAAAATTAATTTAGGAAAAATGCTCCATAGAATGAATTTTTTCAGAGTGATCCATTAAAATAAGAGGCTGATGGTGTCTACCCTTGATGTTCTGTAGATTGCACTTCTATGCATCCATGCAGTACAGAAACTGGATCCTTACTTGGAAGGATTTCACACTAGTGTTCCTCGTAGTATGAAGCATAGGTAGTGGAAACACAGGACACTGAAAGTTGTATTTTCATACTTTATCTTTCACTAAGTAAGTCCACACCTGAATAAAGACAGACTGTATTTTCTCAAAATCGCCAAAGTAGAGGTGACTGACATTTCTGTCCCAACTATTATTAATAAGAAAAATAATGTTTGGTTTTTCTTTTCTTTTGCAAATATTTTTTTTGTGTTTGTGAAAAGTATCCGTTTTCACAAAAAGGTATTTTGAAATTGAAAAAACATGTACATCAAAAAAAGTTTTTTTTCAATCTCTCAGAGTTCTAGTCTCTTGTCAGTTATAAGCTGAGTGTGTTTTGCTCTCTGATGTTCTGTGCACCAGTCTCCTGTGATGTGACTTCTTGGCCAATGATAGGAGGCAATAGGAACAGCAGGTTGTATAGGAGAAGCACTCTGCCAGGGGGAACCATACTGTAGAAGAGAATGAACGCATGAAGAACCTAAACAAGAAGTCCCATTATGCTTTGCAGTGGCATGGCAGAATCAGAATGTTCGAACTAAAGTGCTCTAGGTTTTTACTGAAGCCCTCTCAAATTTGCTGAACAACATGAAATGTTCACTGAGCAGCCTGTGATAAAAGCTGAAGATATTCAAAGACACGCTGTTATATTAAATGAATCTCTTGTTTCTGTCCTTTGATTCTGGGATTATATAATGAGGGCAGCATGATGTGACTCCTTTCCAAGAAGAATTGTGTTTGTGGTTTTATTACTTGTTAGACTTCCAGTGAAAGCAGGAAGTAGAGGAAAAAAGGAATCTTCTGTCTCTTAAATTTAAATGAAAAGCATGTCAGTGACACGTGTTACCACATGCCCTATATTGCAAAATGTAACATTTTAGCATTTCATAATTAGTGGACACTCTCTGCAAAATAATTCCGTAGCATATTTTCAGTTACAATGTTAATTATTGATTTTTTTTATTTGTTTGGTTTTTATTTTCATTTTAAGTTGGAAAACCTTTCATCCTGAAACCTAAATGTATCTTGAATGTAAACTAAATGAAATATACTAATTTGGCTTGTGGATACCTTTTTCTTTAGATTCCTTTTCTATTACAGGTTAGCATAGAAGATATTTCCTAAACAAATACTTGGCTAAAGTAGCTCTGTGTGCATTAAGCCAATGCCATTTTTCTTCTTTATTTTTTTCATTAAGTGTTTATTACTAATTCTGTTTAGGGATCAAGAAACCAGACAGACACTGAACTACTTCAAGAGTGAAAGTTCTGAGTATTCACTTTAGTATTTTAAATTCTGTTAGTTTTAACATCAGAAATTAGTCTGTGTATTGCTGGTATCTAGCAGATCTGTCTGAAATAACAATTTCTTTACAAGCTACTATGTCTAAGTAAATAAGTATTTCATGTACCAGCAGCAAGCAGCAGCTGTTCATAGTCGTCACATAGTAAACAGCCAATCAGAATTTAGTTATGATTTATCAACGTACAGAGCAAACTTTAAAGCTGACTGAAAATGTTTGGAATTCTACTGTAAATACTTAATTTACATTGAATGTGGTGAATTTAAGTGTGTAAATAAAGCATGCGAGCAAGAGCTTTGGTGATTAGGGCTCACTGGTGTTTGAAAATATCCTTGGAGAACTTCACTAGCTCCTTGTGTTTGCAACATATCAGTGCTCCTATAAAAAGCAAGGAAACAAATACTTAAATTTATAGCCAAGGATACATAGCATGAGTTTTGAAAGAGTCTTGGTGAACAGAAGAGTTAAGTGCATGCCTGTTATGTGCCTTCTCTAATTTAAAGAGAGTTTACAAAGGCCAAAAATAGGATTTATGCCTTCTACATCTTTGAAAGGTGTAAGAAAAGCTCATAAGACCTTTGAGATCTGTGTTTGCCACTTTGGACTTCCTGCTTCACTAACTTGCGTAGCAGCCTCTGCAGAGCCACGGCACCACTGTATTACACTGCAATCATTTGTGATAGAGCTGAGTTGAGCCTGAGGTAACTGTAGTTTAATACCACACTGGAACTGTTCATCGGATTATAAGTGACACAGTTATTTGCATAAGATGACTTTTGCAATGAAAAAGCCCTTTCTGTAGGTGATCAATTTGAAAACAACACTTAAGGATGTCTGCACAAAACTTGCAACAGAAGAGTCATCCTAAAGTCAATTCTCAGCTCTCCACAATCATCTCGTTTCTTTCCTTTTCATCATGTTGTTATTTATACACTTATGAAAAAGTATGACTGAAAATGTGGATTTTAACCATAGAGGATAATGAGCTATCTCTGTTCACAAGTCAGTAGGAACTGATACTTAGCACATTTCTATTGTAATTTATTTTGATTGTGGTCCCAGAATTAAAGTAATCATTAATGACTTGAACAGCACCTTCTCTTTCTTCCATCTTTCCGGCTGACTTTGCTTCTGGCTGTACTTTAATCTTTGCCATTTTGAAAATCTATTTTACGCAACCTTCTTTCATGGGTTATTTTGATTGTTAATGGTACTATAAGTTTTATGTATGAATAAAAAGGAAAGGGTAAGTGGCTAACAACATTGATGTACTTCCTAGAGTGACTCACACAGGAATTAAAGCGTTCTACCGGAATTGTACTGTTAACAAAAACATGTTTAAAGAAGCTTTATAACTTGCTTTTTCCATTTATTTCGTAGTTATGTGATAAATCGGAGCAATTGGCACCTAAACCCCTCTCCTCCACTATCATTCTCCACCCATGACAGGCCAGCTATAGTTAGGAACAGCTGCCTGATTAATGACTGTGACACAATGGACAAGTTGCAAAGTTCTGTTAAACTTGTGGGCTGAAGTCACTGAAGTATATTAGAGTGTGTAGTTCCTTTCATATTCCTCATTTAATTTTGCAGAAAATAGTGGAAAACTGAGATACCTTTAGATTTCTAAATATTGACAGGCATATATCATCCTTGGTACAATTGCTGGTGATAACAGGAGTTGTGTACATGCACTCTGAGAGGGTGATGTGCAAGTCCGAGCTGAATCTGGTTTTTCCACTGAGGCTAAAAGAGAAGAGTGACAGCAGCTGCAGACCTTTGACACATGAGCTATCATATCTGAAACAAGGCGATCTAATTTCACGTACTGCTATGAGGAGAGGCTCTGGCCTTATAAATGATCTATGTGTGTGCATAAGCCAGTGAAATAAACTAAAATAAACTCTTGCTCATCTCTTCCTCAAAATTAAACAAGCAAATAAGACTCTTCTGTTCTGAATACAAAATATTGTTCTGCAGAAGTGGTTTTATTAACAGAGGGCTTTTAGATAGATTTTATTTTTCTATGTACTTAGGTGGGATAAAGAGCTTAAACTAATTGGAGATCACAGTGCTGGTGATAGAACGCCCTTACTTTCCATTACACTGAGTGAACACCATCTGTCTATTGACTGCTGAAATAACGTCTAGATGAAATGAAAATGAAAAATATATCCCTTGATGGATTAACATTAGTATGTAGTAATAACAATAAGAATGATTGATTGCTAGCTGTTCCAATAACAGTAGCTGCAAAATGAGCATTCATTACTCCCTGGATTCTTTGGTGGGGAGAGGGAGAAGGCAGGGTGAAGTCTGTAGGACTTTTTCATATTAAAAGCCCCCTCAAATATGTTAAGTAAATATCAAATTGTGGATGTGACCTAAACTTGTTAACACTAATCAAGTAAGTTGAGTTCTTTCATTTGTGTGTCTGGAGGAACAGACCCTAAAGCATTAGAACTGCCGCATTTCTTTTATATCAGTTCCTCTAGATAAATGTAATTTTACGTAATTTATTCTGCATTCTCCTAAAAGCAAAATATTATCAACACAAAGGATATGAAATTTAAAAAAAAAATTGTTGCTTTTATATTCTTCCATTTCAAATTTTATGAATTAATTGTACGTAATTTGAAAATGTGGTCATGGAATTGCAATGTAATTAAAATAGTACCTTTTATAAGGTACCAGAACTGTATTTTAAGTAGGTTTTTTGCTTGTCTGGTTCTTGTATCTGTTGCTTAAAGACTTTCAAAAATAACTAATATCTAAAGGTATTTTTGAAGTTGTAAATAAAATTAAAAATTACATTACTTTCAGAGAAAAAATCTTGAAAAAAAAAATTTTATACTTAAATTCATACTCCTTTAAAGATAATGTAGCTGGGTATGAAATGTTTATTTATATAACATTGCTAATGCAAAGAATGACATGTGGTTTATTAAGGGCGCACTTGTAAGAGGACATTAAAGCAAATATGTAATTGGCATTGGAAAAAAAATATAAAGAAAGACTATAACAGCCCTATATTATAACTATTTCCCATGGTAAATAAACACTGGTTTTCAAATTATGTTGATTATATATGACTCTTCTTTTGGATGTGTATTAAATTAATTCTGGTAAATTGGCAATATATCTGTTCATTATGTGTGTAAATGAAAGTGTAGCTTCTTAGAGCTTCATCAGTGCTGTTCCTATCATTCTGGGTTTTTGGAATATTTCATAGATTAAAGAAAATGTAGCTACATTCCATTTAAATAACAAAAGAGTTTTACGCCAAATTTAATAAAACTAAATTTAATACTAGCTAGCTGATATAACTCCATCTGAAAAGTCTTGAAAGGCATGGATCCTTCATAATCAGAGCTACTAGTTCATCTTAATTTATATTATTATAAGAGTAATTTTCCCTGACGTTAAGCTTGCTGCACCAAGTCAGTGCTAACTGGTAACAGTACTCTCACGTGTTACCAAATCTATCTAGCTGTAGTTAAGCGAGGTTTTCTTTAGGTATCTGTTAGGCAGAATCTCTCTGCTACCATACTCATAGAATACTTATTTGAAAGGCAGGTGCTTGCAAAGAGCTGGATTAATCTTTGTATTCTGTGAATAATTATACTAAGATATTTGGACTAGCACAATGTACCAAATTAAGCCCCTGTGTAACTTCCTTTCAGAAGCAGGTCTTCTGAGAAAGGAGAGGGGAAAAAAAAACCCAACAAAAAAAAAAACCAACCCAAAGTAAACTAAATGTTGTATTGTAGGAGAAAATTTGCTATCAGTAAATACAAATCTACTTACCCAAGCTGCGTAAAACTATGTTTTCCTGGAAACTAAGCATGGATATACATTTACATGGCTACCATTTCCACTAAATGGTCTAGAGTATGTGAAAGACATCTGCCTCTAGTTAAAAATCAATGAAAGCCCTTGGACAAGATTTTTTTCATCGATTGTCTGAGCAAGGGTCTCATCCTTTGCCCCAGTTCTTTTTTTTTCACCCCAGCCATCTGGAAACAATATTTCTGCATTCAGAATGCAAAAATGTTGATTTAGTAAGATTATGAGTTTCCACTACTGGAAATAAATTCTAATGAAATAAGAATGCTTTATGAAATGACATAATATTATTAATTTCTGTATTAAATTTTCAGTGTTCAGATTTGTTAAACAGCTCTTGAAAAAGCCTAAATTGAATTGTGCTGATTTCTTTTTTACTAACAAATATGCTTCCTCTGTTTCAGCTCAGAGAATCATTTAAGGATCTCAAAAAGAAATTCAACAATTTGAAGTTTAACTATACAAAGAAAACTGAAAAAGCTCGAAATTTGAAAGTACTTAAAATGCAGATTCAGCAAGTTGATACATATGCAGAGAAAATACAGGTAATAACAGAAATTTTATGGCAAATGAAGGCTTCACTGTTTGAATTGCTGTGGCCTGTGCCAAGCAGATCAGAGGAGATGCAAAATGTTACTCAGCTTTATATCTCTGTCTCAGTCACTGGATGAAACATTTTTCATTGCTCTGTTTCTTTTCTTCTTCCATTTCCTTCAGTGAAATGATCTTGTCCAATTCCTGATTTCTCTGTGTTCACTCCTTTTATCCTCCATTATTTTTCTATTTAATCTTTTATTCTTCTTGCCTCTGTTCCTTCACAGTACCTGTGACCTAGTCTTCCCTCTCCTTAAAAAACCAAAATAAAACAAATATTCCATCAAGATCAATAAACCAACAATAAATGCACACATATTCCCTCTTGCATGCAGCTACTTTCTTGTCTTTCTCATTTCATTGCGTAAGTCTTCAAACCTTTTTCTGCATCCATTGCCTGAAGTTGATCATGCTCGTTTGCACCTTAGAATCCTTCAGTTCAATCTCTGTCAGTGAATCTCTGTCAATCAGATAGCACTTTTTGTTTCACTTGCCCTGCCAGTCTCTTCCTTCACAACTTTTTTGCTTGAAACTTTGAGTAGCTTCTGTAATTCTATTTTTGCTATTGCTTTTGTTGTCATTGACTACTCCTTTTACAACCTTTTTTTTTTTTTTCCCCTTTCTTGGCAATTTCGTCCACAAATGCAAATTCAAATCACAGAATCAATGAGGTTGGAAGAGACCTCTGGAGATCTAGTTGAAATTCCTTCCTCAGAGCAAAGTCAACTACAAAAGATTGCTCTACATCATGTCCATTTGGGTTTTGAATATCTCCAGGGGTGGGGACTCCATAACCTCTATGAGCAAGCTATTCCATCCTCAGAGTTAAAGTGGTTGGTTTTGGTGTTGTGTGGGGGTTTTTTTTTGCTTAAACAGAATTTCCTGTATTTTAGTTTGGGTCCATTGCCTCCTCTCTTTCTACTAGGCATCACTGAGATGAGTGTGGCTCTTGTTTTCTCTATGCCCTTCCAGCACATTTTTATACACATTGATAAGATCCATCTTGAGCCTTCTCCTCTCCTGGCTAAAAAGTCCTAGCTCTCTCTGTCCTTATATGACACACACTTAGTCACTCAGTCATCTTTGTGGCCCCTCCAGTATGTCCAGGTACTTGTACTGGGGAGCCTGAAGCAGATGCAGGACTGCAGATATACGGTCTCACTCACTGCTGCTATGTAGAAGGGGGCAATCACCTCCTTTGACCTGCTGGCGAGGCTCTTCCTACCAGTGTTTATTCTTACAAGTGTATATATGAACAATTCATGAAATACTTTCCTATTTTCAACCAATCTTTTATTTTCAAACAAAAATCAAGAACATTTCTTTTTGCATCACTTGTAAAACAGCTAGCAAAACGAAGTCTTGATCAACTGTCAAGACCAGTGTTCCCAGGAAATAAAATATATAGATGTATATACGTGCACCATCTAATTCTAAAACTAACAGGTTGTGTTTATACCAGACATCATAAAGTACTAGTAGAAATACTTGTTCCCCTTGGTCTTTGAGATTATGCTAGATTGTCACTGATGTTGCTTGCATCTGATTCTTAAACAACGTGTTAATATTCTCAGACATAAATAACTGTGATGCTTAAATTGACCAGTATTTGGTCAAAGACTTCAAAGGCTTAATAGTATATTTTCCTTTCCAGATTCAATGGAAGTTATTTTGTTCAAGTAGTTTTACTTCCACTTTATGTGTTTATTATTTGTCTATTTTTGAGATGGAAAATGCAACTCAGTTCCATCTGTAAGAAATATAATTTACATTGATTTTTTTTTTAGCATTGTAGAGGCTCTCCAGTTTGCTTTGATTTTTGAAAAAGCAACTTGTACTAATTTTTAAAATACAGGAAAAGAAATAGGTTTGTGTGGGTTTTCCCATGTTTACTTTTTATTTCTAAAAATAGAAACATTTTTGTTGCTATATTTAACATTTCTACATCTTTTAAACAGATTCTTAGAAAGAAGATGGATAATTTAGAGAACAAAATCATTGGCTGTGTAGCAAACGATCGTAATGCTAAAGTTAGAGTCTTCTTGGGGTCAATCACTGACTTACAAAAACAGCTGAATGACTTTAGGAGAGTTGTGGAGGATTACAAGCAAAATCTGGATCTTGTGGAGCATCTGCAACAGATGATGGAAGAGGTACTAGTAAACCTGAGATCCCCACTGTGGCTGTGATAATGATCTGGGAATGGGATAGATAAAAATGCTTATAACTATTTAAAAAATCTGTAGTTTCCAAAAGGAGTAGATTGGCTAAAATCTGTATTTCCTTCTATTTTTCATTTGTAACTTTGTAGAGAAAGGAGGAAAAAAATATGTAATGTGGCCATATTCTTGCACTTCTGTGCATATGACAGAGGTCTCCAACTCCATATGACTTTCATAGTGATTCAACATATCTATCATCATACCTATGAGCTCATTTTCTCTAAGTATTTTCTGAGGCAACACAGAAAGTGCCACAAGGCCCTCATTGATAGCTGTCAAACCACAAGAGCCAGATTATCACACTACCCACTTTGTTAGTTGTCAGGAAGAGCTATCTGTGTGGTATGTAATCCTGGAACCGAATTGTAAAATATTCAGTTCCTTAAAACCAATGTACGTATTTTTTTCTTCAATAGACTTACTTAGTAAGTATATGTATATTTTTTTTCCGAACTTCAGGCTAAGTCTTTTTGGAGACTTCTGCGACTTTTTAGTGTGTCTGAGGACTGCCTCATGCATTGCCTTTTTTAAAAGGAAAAAAAAAAGTTTGTAACTGTTTTCTCTCTTGCCACATTGTGCTGATGCATCTGCTGTGAGGCAAGCACATTCTTGTCATCATTGTTTGTTTTTAGAAGTAACACTGTTCATATCTCCAAAGTGATCTAAATGCATGGCATAAAATTCCCCTCATCATGGATCACAATACTGAAGTTTTGTTTAAAAGATGTTTTCAGTGTCCAGTGGTCTGATCAATGTGTCATTTCATGTATCATTAGGAAAGCAATTTGTTACCATTTGTTGTGCATTTACATTTTTAAACTCCCCTTTTACTTGGAGGGAAATAAATTATTTCCTAGAGCTAAAATTTAAGGTTGCTTTTTTTTATTCGATGTGAACTTTTACTCAATAGTTTTCTTTCAGCAAATAGGCATAGTCTTAAATACTGACTTTAATGGCAGTTAAAATGGTAGTTATTAACTGCTTGCTGTAATGATGAAATACTGATGATATTGAGTGAACACTAGATTCTGTTCTCCTCTGGGTATTGTTAACCAAAATTGTTTATTAAGGGTATATTCTAAAGCCCATTCATGCCAGTAGAAAGAACCTAACAACTTAATGGTTGCTGAGACCAAAACCCCTGTTTGCTCGTAGTCTAAATCTAAGCAATCTTGCTACCATTACAGAGGTATAACTGTTGCCATGAAACAAAGTTTGTGAAATTAGTCAGTTGATATACAAGGTGGAAAGAACTCAGAAATAAAATATATGTTTGCAGAACCATTAAGTAATAACCTTACCATGCTTCGAAGATGAGCATGGATCTAGCATTTAAAGAAAATTTAACAGCTATTAATATTTGAAATGGCATTGGTAATGAACAAATGTTTTTCAGGTTAAAATAAAATTGGAAAATTTAAGACATATTGTATGCCACTGAATATGGAAAGTCTAAGAATACTCCAATCTATTCTACAAAAAGCTTGAACTGCTGATAATAATTCATTATAATACACTGTTTTTATCCCTCAGTGTCAATTTTGGTTTGAAGATGTAAGTGCAACAGTCGTTAGAGTTGGCAAGTATTCTGCGGAATGCAAAACAAGAGAAGCAATAGAGACTCTCTACAAGCAATTCAATAAGTTTATTGAGCCCACAGTGCCTCAACAAGAAGAAAAAGTTCAGCAGATTATAGACCTTGCTAAACGGTTATATGGTGAGGAGCTGTCTGGTAATGTACTGTGGGGAAAAAATACAGTAACTTAGGATAGGAGGAAAGAGATTCCTGGATTTGTTCATTTCAGAAGAAAATCCCATGAAGTTTAAAAAACAAATACTGTTTTAAAGTATCAACTGGAAGAGGTGAAGGATTTCAGAACAAATATTTGAAAAATAAAATATGAAACTGCCCAACAGTCTGGTAGTTACTTGGTTTTCTGTATACAGCCTGAGTTCACCTTGAAATCAAAGTGTGAATGTCCTTGTAATATTTATGAGCTTGGAATTAAGACTTCATGGCTTATGCTGTTTTATAACAGGCAAGCAAACCTTTGAAGTCAAAGTACATTACAGTGATATACCTCAGTGCTGAGTGAATTTTTTACATTAACACTGTGAATAACTAGTGGTATTTGATTGCCAACTTAAGCATTTTATTAGCAAAAAATGTAAATTGTTATGTAAATATTGTATTTGCAACTGTATTGATTTGGAATATTGTTGACCAAAAAGAATGAAGGTCAACGAACTTCATGTTTTGCTTTTTTTCTCCTACTCATAATGTTTATGTACATGTTGAAGTTATTTTATCCAAAGATATGGTGACTATCCAAATGTGCAAGGATACTGTGTAGCCTATCAATTCAAGTAGTAAATATGAAAAAATTTCAACAAACTGTGCTTTTAAATTCTTCTAATTTAGTGTTGAAAAGACTATTTAGAGAGCACAGATTGCTTTTTTTTTTTTCTTCTCTCTTCTTTTCTTTTAACCTTCTCAATATTTTAAACGTTCGTCTGTAGGAAAGGAGCTCAAAGAATGGATTCTTGACACCAACTGATTAGGAGCACTGGGAGAAAGAAGCTGCTTTCTGTTTTTTAAGCCATTACTTATATGGGAAGAAGTTTCTTCATCTTGCCTTTGTTTTGTATTTCTTGTAACAGGGATCCAAATGCCTCCTAGCTCTGTAATAAGGCAACTAGTTTAGGAGACACTTTACGAAGACAGCATCTTTTAAAGCAGTATCACTAACAAGATAGAAGTAATTTTGTTCAAGGAGAAGCCTAGCAGAAGACTTGCAGCGTCTATGAGGGCCCTCCTCAAGTAAGCTAGTAAGAGATAGGAAAGCACATTGCCGAGAATCACAGAACTCCTTCAGCAAAATGAAACACAGAAAAATGTGATTATTATAGTATATTTGGTTTACAAGGTACCTTGATTGTTATGCATCTGAGGCATTCTGTTCTGCTTTCATGTTGTTTTACCACCTTTGCAGGTATTGAAGAAGGAGAAAAGTATGTTGAAAAAGCCGTATCAAAGTACAAAGAAACAATAAATTCTGTTGATGAGTTGTGTAGATCTCTGAGAGAACTGAAGGAGATTAAGGTATTTATTTATTTATTTTAATCTGGAGAATGTATTGCATCTGCATCAACTTAATCAGACTTAGTGTCTGAATCAGTACTTTTAACCTGAGGGTCATCTATGGTATTATGAAGCATTTCTTAATTGTTCACTTTTACATACCTTAGGTAATGATTGAAATGAATCAATGGGGTGCTACTTGTTTGTGCACTAAACCATTCCTCTTCGGTTTCTTTTTCTCAATTTCTTTCAGAACTGTTACTGCTTTCAAGTAACCTTTAGGGGAAAATGTCACAATTTCTTTGAGTATCTAGACAAATACTTTTTTCATATTTCTTCTTCCCTTGGTACTGTAATATAGATAACTGCTGGATCTATAAAATGCCAATCAGCTTGGCTCTCTATTGGAAAAATCATCCCAAAAACCAAGTTGTGTTAAAACCAAAGTGATTTAAATCAGAAAAGCATTATTTATAACATAAATATTAAAAAGAACAACATTTTTAGTTTCATATTCTGATAAGCTTCTTTAGAGTGTGATTAAGTATAACATATCAACTGAGGATGACTTACAGAAGACAGCTGAGGGCTAGATTTCTGTAATAAAGACTGGGTCTACTCCATCACCCACTCTCAAAGTAATCAAAAATCTCCAACATTCAGCAATAGCTGATGAGTTAATTCTGGGAAGTTGGAAGAGTTAAGATGCTTAAATAGCCTGCTTTTGTTGATGTTGAACGTTGTTTCACATCTTTGATGGAATTACGCTATTAAAAACTGATGAACACTCAAATCATCTGTTAATATACTTAAAAGCAGTAAGAGAAGCCAAAATGAGTTCCAAAAGTCACTAGGTGAATGGAAAGAAGGTTTTGCCTTACACTGTGACCATAAAGAAACTTCAATATAAACGCCAATTAGATATTTCAAGTTCTTCTCCCAATCCATGTGTTCCATAAATGCTATTGTGTGGAGGACAGTAGCCCCAGGTTCTGTCAGAACAGGGCTTGAACCTTTGATCTTTTTTGCTAGTTCAACATAATATGAATCTTTTCAAGACAAGTGAAATTTGAAAATATTTGTAATATTTTACTTTGACTAATTTTGCTAATGGTAAAGTTACCTTTCTTTAACAGAGTTTTTAGGAGAACATTTTTTTCCATACAGATCCATTCATACATAATTTACTGATTACTTTAACCTTTAATTGAGATAATTCTTTAAAGAAAGTCCTTCAAAAGGAATATTGCAAAAAAATGAATTTTCTGCAATAGAATGTAGTTTTGCAACTTTTTTCAAATTAAAGTTGTTATTTTTTTATAATATGTAATATTCTGAGATTTTAAAACTAGCATTCTTATTGGACTTTTCCAGAATATCTCAATAGTCAATGTCAAAATTCAAGACTATTTTTTCTTCAGAAAAAAACAGATTGAACAGATTACACAGAATTTTTCACTTGATTAATACTAGAAGGGAAAATTACTACTGCAGCACTTAAAAGAATGTTTTGGGACTGTAACTTTTGGCTGAACAGCTAAAGATGTGAAATACACAAAACTGTAACTATAAGACTTTGGTTTTGGTTTACATTGTGCCACTGTGGTGTTCTTGGAAATCTGCAGATTTCTTCCATGACAATTGTAAAGGATTCATGAAGTCTTCATAAAATACAGTATGGTTGTGCAAATTTCTGTTAAGTACGTACTTTGTAACCAGTTCTGCAGTCTTTGAAGCTAAAGCTATAAATAAATATCAGCCAAAAAGAATAGTAAAAGTAGCTGATCTAAAGTACAGTTAACTACATTGAGTAGTTATGGACTGTCCAGACAGGAAGTTGAAGGAGGAAGGAAAACAAGAACAAAGGCAAATTCTGCCTGGTTATGTTTTATGCTTAGAACACATTCTCCCCTTTCCACCTTTTAGACAAATTTGAACATTCTAGAGACTCACAAATGTTTCTTTGCTCCCTAGAACAGTTTTCCTTGAAAACCTGTTTTTTTTTTCCTGGATCTATTGTTCATCCGCTTTTTTTCCTAATAGTGTCACTTTCTTCATCCTTTATTTTTGCTTACTTATGCTGGATACAAATTGGTTAATATTCCTCAGATTCTTGACCAACCACTTGAGTTCTTCAGTCTTTGGTGTCCTGTAATCTCCCTGACTCCAGAAGAACTCCTCAGCTTTGAAAAATGTTGTCTTCACTTCTCCAGGAATGAATGAACTGGGCTTTGCTGTGTATTTTTGCCATAAGCACTTTATACCTGTGCTGATGACAGATATTAGATAAGATTTCACTTTATTTTTTCTACTTTGTTGTACAGAGCATAAGTCAGTGTGTAACTAACAATTGCTACCTTCTATTGTGTATAAACTTGATTTTCTTTTCACCTAACAGAAAGATGAGTTTTCTGTAGAGTTGGTCACTGTTCGAAAAGAAGAAAGAAATGGTCAAGAAGTATGTGAGGTTGTTTTTAAAGACAAAGCAGAGGAACAAAAGCAGCAGGTTAGTTAGATTTCATGTTTTTTAACTAAACTTTGTTTCTTAAAAGGCTTTGTGACTTCACAAGACTGGAATGTTCCTTGCTTTTCAGTCTTGAAGCCTCCCTTAAGATGGATGTTATCAGTGTAGTCTTGGTCATTTCCCTTTCAATTTTTTTTTAGTTACCCCTTTGCCTTCTATTGAATCCACATTTCTTCCCTATTTTACTTTTTTAGCTTTCTTTTTAGTTACCTATATATCACTTTTTCTTTTCTAAAATAATATTATTTTCATAATCTTTTACCAATTTTCCTTTGGTCCTATTGCCACAGTATTCTTAACGCAGACATCCTCTTTGCGACCATTTGTCTGTCCTCAAGGGAGAACACATTCTGCTCTCTCCTTTATAATAAGACTTCAAGAAATGTAGGAAGTAATAAGAGGAGACTGCTGTTAGTATTTCTCAGAGCCCTAATATTCATATAACCCCTAAAGGCAAGTATGAAAGTATTTGATTTATAAGTAATATGCTATCAGATAAGCCTCATTGCTCAGAATTTGAACTAAGTAACAGTGGAAATTATGACGCTTTGTTGAATCATTAAGGTCTTTATAAGGAATAAAAAAATTGTTTTTTAAACATTTTTCTTTCAGATGGCATCAAGTAAATTGCTTAAAAATTCAGAAAGCATTACTGAGAAGAGAAACAATACTCTGTCTCCTACCAACACTAAACAGGTACCTGCTGTTTATGTTGATTTTATTTTTTTTTTAAATCAAGTTGATGGGCATTGTAGTGTACTCTTAAAGGAGTTTTCCTTCTCAATTCATTGTTTCTCAAAAGTGAGGGATATTGTTATAGATTGGTGGGCTTTGATTGTCTTCTCATTTATAGCATTACAAAAATCCAATGCAAAACAAGCCTAGAATTGCTTTACTTTTGCAACAGTGTGAATAACAGGAAAGCAGTCATGGCAGAAACGTGATGGAACACAACTAAAGCTGTCAGCAGTTCAGTGTGACATCATGTCGCATATAATCTGCTGTACTGTTGATATGACACTATACATCAAATAAATAACAGAACTCAGAATCAAATAGTCATCTTCACCCTCACTTCAAAACACTTAAGTTACATTTCGATTGCCAAAATTCCATGCAGCAGAGATCATAAATAGGTTCCAAAGTATGGATTGCATGTTGAGGACAATGCACAAAAGGAAATTAGATGGTGAAATACTGAGTATGTGTTTAAAATTATAAAAATCCTACCAGACAAACATGTTTTATTCATGGATATACTGTAAATGAATATGAAAAGTTCCAAATTGTCAATGAATAAATGTAATCTTAGAAATACAGGCAATACAAAACCAGACCTACATTTTATGAGATTGATTCTCTTAGCTTAAAGAACGTTTTTAAAATCTTGGGATCCTGGATGTAAATGTAAATAATTTACTATGTGAAATATTCTGGTAAATTAGAGTGAGTGGTAATATAATTAAGTCTTTAGAAAGGTAGGGTACATTGGTAATTGATTTAAAGCTCTAAAATTTCCATTTTGCAAGCTGTAGCATAGACCAATATTACAAGACATTAAATTGTGGCATTTTGTAGAAATTCAACTAAATTTAACATTCCCTTCAGTTCAATACAGAATGTCCTGTAATCAGCTGATGAGTTAAAATTAAACCCAATCAATTTGGGGCTTAAGTCAATGGGAGTTTCTTCATTGACTTGGAGCTCAGATTTCACTCAAAATTTTGTGACTGTTCCAAAGAGGCACCCTCAGGAGAATCACCTCACCCAGCAGATATCCATAGTCTCGTTTCTTATTTTGCTAGGCCACAGCTAGGCACCACTGTGCCTCAGCTGCCAAGGGGAGAAGTCAAGGATATGGAAAACAGCAAATACCAGATGTGAAGTATGGCAGCTATGATGTCTCCACCCTTTTCATCGCTCTCTACTTCACTTAAAGAAGTAGCAAGTTCTTGTCACTAGAGCTTTTCTGTCTTCCATTTCTGTCCTTTCCAAGGAAAGACCTGGCCCATCCCCAGCTCCTCATGTAGTGGTCCAACAATCTCTAATTTTTGTTTATACTTCTGCAAACTAATTTTGCAGTATTAATTTACTTCAATAATAAATATCACACTCTAAAAAGTAGCCTAAACCATCTCATGGCATGTTCATCCTCATGCTTCTTTGATCCCAGGTGGCACACCAGAATTGAAAGTCCTCATGCTGCCAAAGCCTCTCTGACAGCTTGCTCGCTCACTGCCCACCTGTTGTTCTGTTCCCTAGCATTTTCCCAAGGGTCATTTTCCAGCAATGTCTGAAATAACTGTTCAATTCTGTGATCTCTGGATGAGATGACCATGAAACTGACAGCACATCCCTGCACTAAGATCCCAGATTAGTCAGTCAAAAATTCCTACATTGTCATGGCCTTCCCATACTTACCCAAACATATGCCACTGGGTGCATATGTGCGTAGACTCCTAAATAGACGGAATGAATGTGGACCATCGATTTCATTCAGACAGTAGAGACTGGCTATTCCGAAATTCTGACCTATGTTTTTTAAATATACCTGCTCAGAATTTAACCTTCTAAACAATTTTTCAACTTCTTAATATTTATTCAGGTTTGGTTTATCAAATTTTTTTAGTGTAAGTCAGACCAAAACAGCCAGAATGTGCTACTGAAGTGCCTGTTAAAGCTTTATTTTAGAAAGACTTGCAAACTTGGTCAGGCTTAAAACTGAGAGTTACTTAGAACAATGCTGATAAGGTTAGAAGACCTGAGTGACAGTCAAATTTGCAAACTAGAAAAATATATTGAAATTAATCTCTAAAAATAACAATTTCTTAGAAATAGTTTACAATTAGTTAGAACTGCAATAAAAAAATTGAATACATACAGAGGAAGAATGAACTCAGTATTTATTATTTTCTGAGTAATTAGAAAGGGGAGAAATTGACACATTTCACCAAACTGGAAAGTCAGTTTTAATTTATCATGTTTATATCCATGATAGATTCATACTGGAAGACACTTTGGGGGTCAGAGTTCATCAGGGGATGCTTGTGGAAAACACATTTAATACCCAAACTTGAACTTCAACTGAATTGAATTATTTAGTAAAACAGACACAGCAAAATCCTGACTTCCTTCCAGTCATTCATTCATGGACCTCGCATGAATCACATGGCTTTGAAATAACAAAATTATTCACTTGGAAAAAAATCTGCATGAAAACTACTGTGTCTGCAGGACCAGGGCACATGTGAGGTTCTTTTACTTCTTTCTACTTCTGTTTTGTTAATTTTGCACACTAATGATTAGGTTATGTTTAGAGTAATAAAGCAAAAAGAAAGCCAAAATGGATGTGTTGCTGCAGTTTTGTACTGGGTACTGACAGAGAGACCTGGTTTGGAAAGTAATGGCATCCAGTGTATCACCCGATTGTTCTGAGTGACACCTTATAGGTGATAGAAACATTGCTTAGTAGATCACATATTTTTGTATAGAACTCCACAATGAGAGAAGAGCATAAGAAAGCATTATTAACACCTTTGCTGAGAGCACTGGCATAAATTAAATAAGCCTGAATAGGTGATCACACATTTATATAAAAAAATCAAGAGGAAGAGAAGTGGTTAATAAATCAGATAATGTCTTTGGTGCTTTGTGATTGAAATTAATGCACTCGTCGCACATTCAATTATTTTTGAAAGATGATGAGAGGGATTTTTTTTTACTCTATATCCAAGATAATAGAAAAATAATTTTAACATTGTTATGTTAATGTTTGGAAAAGATATTGAAACAGCTAGCAAAAGATGAGGGAAATATAAAATGCTTGGAAAATATCTTAAAGATGTTAGTTTAGTTCTGTAAATCTTGAACATGACTGGTGACTCTCACAGTCCAGTAACTTGGCTGTCAATATATTTTTATTGCTATGTAACTGTTTCCCATTTCGATGTAGTTAGGCCGCCTCCTCCTCCACCTTCCCCTTGCAAATGCTCATATAAACAGCACATACAAGAAATACACAAGTTGACTTTTGCTTATAGAAAGAGGTACTTTTGCTTTTATTGTTACTGTTATAATAAATGCTTATATATAATTATAATAATATTTGCTATAATCTATCCAAACAGTTTGAAATTCCAGTTAGCTGCTGCAAAGTTTTCTGAGGAATTATCCTTTTCCATGTATTTCCTTCTGCTTCTCAGAATACATTAAGCTTAATTAACAGAAATATTTCAAATATTGTTGCTAGCTTCTGCATGGAAAGGGGATGCATAGAATTGTACCTCATTCTCTCTCTCTCTCTCTTTTTCTTCTTCTTTTCCTGCTCTTCTTTCCCCTCCTAATTTAAGGAGAGGAATAAATTGGCTGATGCTCCAATTATCTGTCCAGCTGGTGAGGATCTTGTTTCACAGGATACAGAGCTGTCATCTTCAGCCAAAGAGGATAGTTTACAGACTGAATTCTTGGCAGAAGAAATACCCTCCGGAGATGAATATGAGTGTATATCACCTGATGATATCTCTTTGCCACCGCTTTCTGAGACACCAGAATCCAACCTCTTACATTCTGAAACAGAGCTAGAAGAGCAGTGCTGTTCTAGTTCTCATAGTCTGCATGTCAGTTCCTATAGCTTGCAAATGCAGAAAACCACTACTATTAAAAAAGTGATGGAAGCGTCTGATCTCTTAACAAATTCTGCTTATGCTGATGCTACAAATAATAGAATGGAAAGCCCATCAGATCAGTTTGAGAAGTTTTGTATCTCTTCAACAGATTCTGGTCCAGAAGTCAGAGCTGTATCTCCTTTGACTTGTTGCTTACAAGAAATACCTGAAGCTAGCACTGCTTCCTGCACTATAAATGCCAAACCAGTATATAGCATGATGAGTGAAGTATGCAAAACACATTTGCAACACCTTGAACTTCATAAAAGCATGGCAGAAACACCAGAACAATTGCATGACTTGAATAATCGTACTAAAACCCAGGATAGGCTGCATGCTTTGCCTGATGCATTCTCAGGTTTTGTGTTTCAATCAGACGCCACCAGAAGCTGTCAGAGGCAGATGGTCACCCGAGAAGAGATTAAAAGTTCATCAGAAAAGAACAGCATGGCCAGCCTAACTGGACAGGCGCCTAACTTCTCCCAGCTTCTGTCTAACAAAACCGTCCTGGAAGGTTCTCCGGTAACTTTGGAAGTAGAAGTAACAGGATTCCCAGAGCCTACACTGACATGGTGGGTAGCTTATAATGAGAAGAAGTAAATATACCTATTAGCAAGACAGCTTGAACCACTTATAACCAAATTAATTCATCTATAGACTAGAATAAATGGTTTGTATCCTTTCTACTTCACACTTCTGCATGATTCTCACCTTCAAAATTGCTTTTGACAGTTAACCTACTTGAAATAATCTCCCTGCACTTAATTTTATAAATAGTGAGAGCATCAAACTACTGCAAGCATATCCAATGTTTTTTTAGCAAATACATCATATAGGTTTTTATATTATGGATTATGACATTCCACTTGTTCAATAATTTCTTAAAACAAGTGTGCAGTCCAGATTAACTGTAAGTAAATTCACCTGTATTTTCTCAGGATCTTGGCACTATATATGGATGGGCAGACACATACACGTGCACGCACACTAGAATATTTATGTAGCCACTGCACATACATAGAGACGCACATTTTTATATATGTGAGAGTTGGTTGTTGAAAACTGGTGACAGGTTACAGGTTAACCCCCTCCCCTTGCAAAGAGAACCATTTTTATATTATATGTTTGTGTGCATTATCTATCTCTCCCTGAATTGCTGTGTGTCTAATCAGGTTACTTTATACTGTGTTTGTGAGAAATACAGATGTTGTGATATAAACATCTTTTAAGATGACTTTTTAGAAATTCCCTGCCAAAGGGAATAGGGACTGGGAGAGGGGCAGGATTTCAAGATTTTTAGTCCTCTGTGCATTGGCATATTTTCCAAAAATTTTACCTCATTTACCATTTGTCCACTTCCTCCATTACACTTTCATAATGGAGGCCTTTCTTTTAATGTATTAAAATTAGATATGCCTCTTATTGGAAACGTTTCAATGCTAAGATTATTTTTACACCTGTAAAGAATTAGGTAAACTATAAGCTTTTAGTAAGCTGTATTTTCTTCTGTGGCACTGAGAAAAATACTGGGCACTGCAACCTTGGTGCTAAATTGTGTTGGTATCAATAAAGTTACTTTGTTTTAATACTTTGTTTTAAATTCCGGTATTCTACACTTTGAAGAGTATTATTGGTGAAACAAGAGGTACTTTCAGTTTTATTTTATCATAAGAAAGCATTGATTTAGCTAAAAAAATATATGCACTGTTGATACATGGTCTTTTAAAAAATAACGTTTAACTGAAAGCATTTTGCAAATTAGAAATTTATGAAAACAGAAAAAAATGTGGGATTTTGTAATTAAAAATTCACCAGTACTATGTATTTTGTACTAATGTAGACATTTTATTGGATGTAGATGTGGAAAAGTATTTCTGTGTTTGTGTTAGGTTAAATATAGCTTATGCTGAAACATCACAAGACAAGAAGAGCCAGAATTTATCCTCACTTCCAATATGTAAATCGGGAGTCAATACCAATACATGGTGACAGATCCTCAAGTGTTAGAATATAACACCAGTTCTATGCAACAACTCTTGATGCTTTGTTCTGTCCTGTTTGATGATGTGAACTAAGTAAATGTTAAGTGGGCGGGGTTGGAAGAACAAGTCCTTGACTGTTCTTTATACTGAAGACAAAAGTTCAGAAAGTTTGTACATTGCTTATGCATCTTAAGAGCATATTCATGATTTGAATGTGGATTGACTCAACGCCTTACTAGCGAAAATGTTTCAGCACAAAGCTGAGGGCCCAGGTCTTCATGCTACTCTCCAATACTTTAGTGAGATAACTGTGACTTGTGCATTGAAAACCATAGTCAGAAGCACATCTTCTAGTATTAAAAATGTATTATCCAGCAATTTGAATTGTTTAAATATTCATCCATATTTACATATAACTTTAAAACTCAGTAATGAGAGCACAGCAGTGAGCTCTGTCTCCCATTGTCAGTGTAATGTTATGAAGGTTGTCTGAATTTGCGAAGTTCTGCTTGTCATACAGTGGTATAAATCTGACTTGAAAACTGACTCTCTGCTTCAGGTACAAGAAAGGCCAGAAACTGACTGCAGATGATCACTTAAAGCTTTTACGAAAGGAGACAAAGCATGCTTTGTTCATTCAGAAGGTGTGTGATAAAGATGCTGGCCTCTATGTTGTTCGGGCTAAAAATTTGAACGGCACTGTCTCCTCAAGTGCCATTCTCCACGTGAAAGGTAACAGGCCACCTATTACAAGAATAGACTGGATAATGCTGTGTGTCATCTATATTAGCATATCACTAATGTACTGGCTAGTCACAAAATAAGTACAATATTGACTGCACTGGATTTAATTCTCACATGCTAAGAAAACATTACATTTATTTTCCTACACTGCATCTTTCATAATCTGTACCAAACTGCTTTTATGTCACCCTCAGTATATTACTTGTTTCTTTAATACCAGTATTACGTGCTTAGTTTCCTTTCTCATAGTAATGTTGAGATAAAAATGTTACAAAAATTTTCTAGAATCTGAGGCAGAGTTGCTTTCTAAAAATGTTGACATTACAGAGTTTTGGAAACAGTTTTAATGGTTATAGGTGTGAAATGTCAAGATACTCCCAGGTTGACTGCTCAGATCCAATACATTTTATGATATGCCTTTTTTTGGGATGGGATGCGAAGGGTGTTCAAATGTTTTTTAAACATTTAACATATTATTTCCAACCACATTTTTCTCATATACTTAAAAAAAAAAATTATTTGTAGGATAAAGGTTCTTAATAAAGAAATAACTTACGAATACCATTCATAATTGCAGTGGCATAGATCAGATTTAAATCTGTCTAAGCCTAGCAGATAGTTGCCACAAATGACAGTTACAGTAGTTCCAGAGTTGTGATCATCTGCACTACAGAGATTTAATCCAGAATCATCAGAGTTTCTGTAAGTGGCACCTAGCATACGGTAGACCAAAACCCCCACATATTTACAAAATGAAATGTTCCAACGTACCAATCAGCTTAGGTAGGTGCCTGTGATACTTTCTCTGCCTTATAAAATTAAAGATATAAATATTTCTAATAATCTGCTAAATTGTTAGTATAAGACAAGAAAGATAATAGTTTATGAAGTGAGCATTAAATTTTTTAACACATTGATTTCAAAGAGAATCAACCAAATTGGGGAAATACTCAAAAGTGTATTTGCACACAAAAGATTTTGTTTTATTTCAGTCAAATAGAATTCTCCTATAATTTCAAAGCAGTAAATCGAAACCACAACTTTGTTCACCTGCATATTGAATTTTGTTCCTGACAAGGACAATTACAAATATTTTTTTTTATTAAAGTGATAATTTGTTTAAATAGTTGATAACAATGACGTAAGTGTGCCATTGGAAGACTTCATTTATAAACTCTCAAATGTAACTTCATTCTTCAGCTTCATTACTTGTATTTTTACAGTAAAAACAATTGACAAACAGCTGCATGATTTTTCCTGCATCTTTGATTTGCAGATTTCATATTACAACTGTGTTGTTGTGGAAAATTTATAGAGAGGAAATATTTGCTTTCTCTTGCATAATTTACCAAACCAAAGTAAGCCTTTTACTCTGTAGCATGCTATGAGCAGAATATATATTGCAAATTGCTGGGGGTCAGCGAGATTGAAGGCTGACATTTAGATATTTTGGCCCAGTGACTGCAGCTTTATTAAAATTCCTGTAACTTTGAAATAGGAGAAGTTCTCTAGTGAATATAACCTCACAGCAATATGAGAGGGAGCAGGAGGAGGAGGTGGTGAGCAGATAGGGGAACAAAGTAAATTCAAACTAAAATTGGTATTATCCTTAATGAACGACTTTCTAAGGTCAGTCATCTCTCAAAAAAGTTGATTCATAAGAATTCTCTCAGGCATAAAAATCACCTATTTTTCTAAAGTGTATTTTCTGTTTCACAATAAAGCTAATTTTAATAATCAATATGATTTTGAATGTTTCAATATTCATAAAAGTAAAACTCATTTAGTGTTTTTGTGCCCTTGTGACTTTATATATGAGTTATAAACATACAGTAAAGAACCTATGTGAGCAAGCTGACTTGCATAAGTGGTACATTAAGCAGTACTGTGGTAAGAACAAACCAAAATGCCTGTCTCCTACATGCTGTAAGGTCTTGCCTGCTGCAGAGCTGCCAGTGCTTGATAACTTTTTCCTGTTCATCACACTCATTTTCTACTTGAAAGTGAGTCTTCTAGGTGATGGCTGCCCTTCAATCCTCTGTTTTTACTGAGAGTTGCCATCATTCAAAAATTCAAAAATTGATGTTCTTTTGACTTGTTTGCTTTTCTGCTTTTCTAATTAGCTTTATATAATACTCAGGTCACTTTTTCAGGCATTTCTGCCTTCAGTATTGACGCTAAGTATATGCACACCAGAAAAACAGGAGTGAAAGCAGAGATGTTCTCTTTCCTCTTATGCCTTGTCTCTGCCAGAATTAGACCTTTAAATTAGGCACTGTCATAAGGCTTGTGACAGAAAGAGTCATAGATGCTGGGCTCAAAGCTGCATCTCCGTTTTAACTTGTAAATCCTTCATCTTGAAAACTACAGAAAGGTCGGTGCTAGAATGATCATTGTTCTGTCTGTTTTCTATGGCCAGTGTGTGAGTTCAGAGATATGCATTTGACCTTTTTAGTTGGAGGGGAGCCAAATGTTGAGCGAAACAACACTGCGAGGTGAGGTTGTGTCCTTCAGAAGGCAAGACTAGAGCTAGGGTTCCAGCCTTTCTTGGAAAAAATTGTCCCAAACTCACTTGTAGTTCTGTCAAAGCAGGAGAAAAAGATGTGAACTTTTCATCAAGTCATAGAGGAGGAATTGGAGGTAGCTTGGATCTAGACTTGTAGTTGGATCTGTTTGCTTGCTGGCACATACAGAAAGACTGCCCACTAATAATCAGCTCTACGAGTTAAAAAGGCAATGAACAGACACAGCTACTGGATGAGTGTACACAGATTATGGGAACAAATTCTTCCTCCTCCTCGTAATGATTCCTGATAAACATCCAGGCTCCTAGGATACTATAAGGGAGCAGGCATGCAGACCTTCTCCCTCATACACATTTGCATTAAATCTGTTGCTGTTAACTTCGTTTAATAGGCTTTAGCACAAGTGGGAGAGATCTCAGTTACTTTACTTGAGATTTGACAGTCAGAATACAAGGCCAGTTTAAAAAATTGTGGGCGTTAAGAGATGCAGCTTTGATTCCAAATGAGATTTATTGTATCTTTTTATTAATATTGTTTAGAACCTAGCCTGTGATATAGCCCTTTTTTTTGGAGTTTGACTTACACTACCAATTCCAAGCATAACAAGAAGGACTGTCATCTTTCCTCTAAGAG